CGTCGCGCAAAACATCCTAGCGCGACGAATACGTCGTCGTCACGCAAACAGTTGTCGCGCAAACGTGTTGATTTATAACATTTGAATATTTTGTCCCATTTCTAGATCTCTGAATATTTGTTATTTGCGATTTTTGGGGTATACAATCTCACAGTATATACAAACACGTTTAACGGTTGGATCGTTGAAATTAGTTTTGTAGAGTTGAATGAACACTTTTTAGTTTCAAAACATATAGAGGTTGATAACCCTACAAAAAGATTCGTACGTAAATTGATAACCTTGAAATTTATTCGTATGGAGGTTGATAACCATACAAAAAGATTCTCCTCTACCATTCCCATAATTAAAAGGGTATGAATGATGATCTTCACTAAAATCAATGAAAAACATATGATTTAGATGGCAAAATTAAAATTAAGGCCTAGGATTAATGGTTTTGTATATCGTACTTTGCGCGACGGATAGTGTTTTGTCGCGCAAAGATGTCATTTGCGACAAGTTTAGTCGTCGCGCAAAACATCCTAGCACGACGAATACGTCGTCGTCGTGCAAACAGTTGTCGCGCAAACGTGTTCATTTATAACATTTGAATATTTTGTCCCATTTCTAGATCTCTGAATATTTGTTATTTGCGATTTTTGGGGTATACAATCTCACAGTATATACAAACACGTTTAACGGTTGGATCGTTGAAATTAGTTTTCTATAGTTGAATGAACACTTTCTAGTTTCAAAACATATGGAGGTTGATAACCCTACAAAAAGATATGTACGTAAATTGATAACCCTGAAATATATTCATATGGAGGTTGATAACCATACAAAAAGATTCTGCTATACCATTCCCATAATTAAAAGGGTATGAATGATGATCTTCGCGGGGTCCATAAAGTATTCAAGATTACAGTCCCCATTTTAGAAAATGACAACTGTTTCGTTCAAAATCGAACATGGCAGGAAGCAGCCATCAATTCCACTGTTACATCCTCAGAAACACAAGCAAGGATACAGGACTGAAAGGCAACCTCACAATCAAATCATAAACTGTGCTTCTCTTTACCACACAAACCATGTGAAAATCTGAATTTAAGATGTCATCAGTTTGACCGAATTCCCTACTCTCAGAAACATACTATGCCAGATCAAACAAACTTCGAGCAGCCCAATTGCATTTCTCAGCTCACCTTGTTCAGTGTTACTCGGAGTGTTATACTACCTTTATCCCCTTAATTTGAGCTCTACAACCCAAAAAAACGAAAAAGAGGTTCACAAATGATCATGACCCACAATTGGTACATATCACATATGAAATAGAAACCCAATTGAACAAAACATGAAAAATTGCATCTTAACATGAAAATCAAAAGAAGTTTATATAAATGAACCAAGACTTGCAATTTGTTTTGAAGATCATGAAACAGGCCAAATATCTCAGTTATCTCAGTTTCAGTTACAGGCATTATTTAGAACCAAGCATATCAAACACAGAAATACACACAGATTACAAAATAGAAACCTACAATATCTCTTCAAGACTGAAATGGATGCTCCATCGTCTAGCATCTTCCTTCAAGAATAATGTTTTTGGTTTGAGCAATATGCAGTCTCAAGGCCATTAGTTTAAAGTCTCATATCATTACCAAAGAATGAACAACTATCAAGCTTCCAACCCTCAAATTCAAATAAAAAATAAAGTACGTACGAAAGTATCAACGATATATCTGAGAGGGAGAGAGGTGAGAGGTGAGAGAGAGAAAAATTTGAAAGAAAAAAATAACATAATTATAATTTCAAAAAATTACCAAATTCCTATATAAATCCAAAATATTACAACAACAAAAAAAAAAAAAAAAGGACTGACGATTCAATACCCAAATCATTAAACCCTAAATCAAAATAGGACATATAAGTCATTTTGTTAGAAAGCCTAGACCATAATTCAAAGTTGAAATACTTTTTGCTCTGATGTTAATCATCTAAATCGCACAGTTAGAAAGAGAGGGGGAAAATTAGAGTTCTTACCTACTAGAGAGAGGTTGATAAAAAGCCAGCCACAGAGATCCAAATGAGAGTGAGATAGAGAAATCATAACTGTGAAAACCTAAAAAAAACAAAACAAATAAACCAACGATGAAGACAGCAGCAACAAAGAAGATACTCAGACCAAAAGCCTTGGAAAGGAGAATGAAATGAAGAAGGAAAAGAAAGAGAAGAAGGAGCATGACCTACCTGAGAGGAGAGGAGATATGGTCGCCGGTGTTGTCTCGTCGTCATAGAAAGAGGAGAGGAGCTGTTGTGGAAGGAATCGAACTCGAAGAGAAAGAAAAATGAGAAACCTTAAGGGGGGTGTATTCAATTGAGATTTTAAAAGACTATTTAGGGATAAAAAAAAGTCTAGTGGATTTAACTAGAATATAATGACTTATAGGATTTTATTTAGAGATTTTCTATTTAAACCCCGCACTTCTCTTTGTTCACCTCAATACTTAAATCATTAAGCTGTAAGTTTTATTATTGTGTAAAAAGACAAAAAAAGTCATCCAACTTAATAATTAACTCAGTACATCTATACACACACCTCACACCCCACCACTCTTCATATCAAGTTTTAGAAAAATACAAACTCCTCTACATCCTATTGCCAGATTACCCTTCTCTTTTAAAGACATAGAAAATTGACGAGCCTACATCTTTAAATATGTGTTGGAGTTGATGGAAATTCTTGTTAATTATCAACTCAACAATACCCAAGTGTTGGAATTCCAGTTACAATTCTTGGAGAGAGGTAAAGTTGTTCTCTTTCTCTAGAAAGTATTAAATTTCAGGTTTAGGGTTCTATTTGTTTGTGTTTTTTTTTGTTGGGAACAAAGAAAATTGTGGGGTTTAAATAGAAAATCCCTTTTATTTCTTATTTTTTCAGTTTGGGGTGTATTTAAGGGTAGTTTGGGAAGATAGTGGGGTTTTCTTAGAAATTGTGAAAATTTAAATTAAAAGATGGGGTGAACTAAAGTGTGGGGTTTAATTAGAAAATTTCTTTATTTATGGATTTATATAACAAAGATTTTTTACTTAAGAATTTTAAAGATTTCTATAAGAGGATTGATAAGATTTGAAAGGACCACATGGATTTTTTCTGGGTTCGACATAAGATTTTTTTAGAAGAAATAGACCCGTAAAAATTAAAAGCTAATATTATTTCATAGTTTGTATGTCTTTCTCAATACAAATATAAGAAATAATATTATTTCATCAACTTCCGAACTCTTGCTGCCCCGTCCCAGCATCCCACGCTAACATACAGGTTTGCCAATTGCACATGGGTATAACCACACTCTGGCTCCAATTGTACAGGTTTGCCATGCTATCTGCAGCCTCAATGCCAATCCACACACTTCCATGAACCCTACAGGATGAAAGGCTGCGATGTAAGGCTGTGCTGGGCATGTATACCTTGCAATCATGGAGTTCCAAGATACATTATCTTTGCCATCCAAATTTTTGAATATGTAAAGCGCATCTTTGGCATCCCCAAGATACATTATCTTTGCCTTCCAAGATACATTACCTAGTTGTAGTTCTTTCATTAAGTAGGTTTTGTCTCTGGTGACTTTTCAAGGTCCAATTTGCTTAAATTTATGAAGGGCATTCTTGATTATGAAACAACTGAGCAACACTTTTAAAGTGCTCTAAAAGATTTCTTTAGTTGACTTCAACTTTTATGGCTTAGTTTGTGACTGTGGGTAGTGACTTGTTTATTGAGATGACAACCCTATCATTAATTGCTGGCAAAGAGCACTTCTGCCATGCCCAAGAGCTCCACTGCCTGTGCAAGCACTCATAATACTTGCATACGTAAAATCATTGGGTTTTGAAGAATGCCTTATCTCACTGAAAAACTGCACACACACATCAACCTGCCACTCTTGTGCAAACCCTGAAATAATGGATGTCCACGACACCACATTTCTCACAGGCATTTCATCAAACACCCTATAGGCAGTCTGTAACTCACTGGATGTACCATAAAACTTACCAAAGATCTTCCAATATACACATTGGCAACAGAGCTAGAATCAAACATGTCATCGAACAAGGTTGAGATTTTTATTGGTGAATTAGAATCAAAGGAAAAAAAAACAGAAAAGCTCTCTATGTGCTCCTCCATGTCTTCTTTCTCGTCAGCCCACCGCCACTGCCCCACCACAGAAAAATCAAAGAACAAAGTTGAGATTTTTATTGGTGAATTGGGGGGTTGAAGCTGATGGGGAATGGAAGGAAGGTCGTTGCTTACACCCAACAGCAAGTAGCTCTAGGTATTGGTGGTTTGGTCGTCAGGCCAGTGCACAACTGCTTGGTGGAGGTCAAGGTGAGGAAGGAATGAATAAAAAAAGTCCCATGTGAAAATCTGATGGGTTAAGGTGGGATTTGAAATAGGGTTTGGTATTTATATCTCTCACTAAAAAATCTCACACATTCCGCATTTTAAAAAAATCCTTCAAAATTAGCAAGTTTTTGAATACCATAAGACTTTTTGTTACTTGTTTAAAGTCTTGATTGAATACCACCAGATTTGGTAACCCTCTTAAAAAAATCCTAATAGTCTTAATGGAATAGCACAAGACTTTTTAGATTATTTAAAAGTCTTAATTGAATACCACAAGACTTATTTATCCCAAAATAATCTTTTAAAATCCCAATTGAAATGTCTCTAACTGAGAGAGCAAGTATTTTTGTTTTTGCTTATTGTTTTACCTACAACAACCAATTTAATTGATAACCAACAATCAACGCTGTGGATTACCCCACATACCCCAAATACTCATCCAATGGTCCATAATAGGTGGCGCATCCATGCACAAGGCCCACTGTAGAATTTTCCTTAGTATCCAATTCTAAAACAATAATCATGACAAAAGCTTTTTTAATACTGGCCATTCGTTTTGTCAGGAATATCTAAACTCATTTTATGGCTTGTGTCAGAGATAGAGACAAGTCAACTGCGTGCAGTTCCAGGACTTTGGGTTCTTCTTAATGCTCCACCAAATAGTATCAATACTTCAACCTGTGAGCAGTAAGCTTGATACTGAGAATGCTCTATAGATTTCAATGGAGCTCCTCTGTTTCTTGGTTTTCAGTATCTGCTTACTCTTTTCTCTGAGCAGAATTTCATCAGCTGCTGATACCATTACTTCATCTCAGTCCCTCAGTGATGGCAAGTCGTTGGTTTCTTCTCCGGGTGGAATATTTGAGCTGGGTTTTTTCAGTCCAGGCATTTCCAAGAGCCGCTACTTGGGAATTTGGTACAAGAACATCCCAACTCTAACTGTTGTTTGGGTTGCAAACAGGCAAACTCCAATCAATGGTTCCACTGGCAGCTTGATGATCAACAGCACAGGCAATCTTGTCCTTGTCAACAACAACAACAACCAGACTGTTTGGTCTGCAAATTCATCAAAACAGTCCCAGAGCCAGAGCCCTGTCCTGCAGCTCCTGGACAAAGGCAATCTTGTCCTCAGAGATGAGAAAGATGCAAACTCAGAAAACTACTTGTGGCAGAGTTTTGACTACCCATCTGATACTTTGTTGCCAGGAATGAAGGTTGGATGGGACTTGAGGACCGGACTTAATCGACGTTTAACGGCATGGAAAAGTCCAGATGACCCTTCTCCAGGGGACTTCATCTGGGAAATGGAGCTGCATGAGTATCCTGAGCCAGTTATGTGGAAAGGGTCCAAAGAGTACTCAAGGAGTGGCCCATGGAATGGTGTTTTGCTCAGTGGCAAACCAGCCGAGGCACTAGCTGCATTGAACTTCAGTTTCATCTCCAATGAGGATGAGGTTTACATGACAATTCACATGGTGAATAAGTCTGTACTTGGAAGGATGATCATGAACCAAACCACGTCGCCACCGCATCGACGGGAGTGGATTTGGTCCGAAGCAGACCGAAATTGGACAATTTATGCAACGTTTCCAAGAGACCCTTGTGATAATTATGGCCAATGTGGTGGTAATGGCAATTGTGATCTTACTTCATCCTCAATTTGTCAATGTTTGGATAGGTTCAGTCCTAGATCACTGGAGAACTGGAACTTAAATGAGTTTTCACAAGGCTGTGAGCGCAGGAAGCCATTGAGCTGCAAGAATGATGGATTCGCCACGTATCCTGGGTTGAAATTGCCCGATACTACGCATAGTTGGGTAGATAAAAGCATGAATCTCAAGGAATGCAGGGCCAAATGCTTATCTAATTGTTCTTGTTCTGCTTATACAAACTTGGATGTGAGAGGAGGAGGCAGTGGTTGTGCCATCTGGTTCGATGATCTTGTGGATATCAAGCAATTGCCAATTGGTGACCAGGATATATATATCAAGATATCTGCTTCAGAACTAGGTATGAACTTATGGATGTTCCAATTTGATCTTTATGAATTAAAATGTCCCTTTTCTGTTGTAACTTGGAACACATCACTAAATCTACGTGTGATCTTTCAGATGACGTCAAGACGAGCAAGCCCTCTGGTGTAAAGAAGAAAGTGGCAATCATAGCCAGCGTTGGGCTGCTAGTCATGGGAGTGATAATACTAGGATTGGTTTTTTACAAGCGGAAGAAGACGTTGAAAGCGCAAGGTAGAAATTAATTAACATCACCATTTTGTTGATCATGTGTTACACAGTGTTCTCTGTTTTTCTTTTCTGTTTTTTTTGTTGTCATGCTTTTGACTAGGAGTAGGAGAGGACAAAATTCTGGAAGGTGATAGAATTTTTTTGATCCTCCCTCCCTCTTCCTGTTTTGGAAAGAATCATGAACTTATTGTTCAATCAACTGTCTCAGGAAAAATGAAAAACATACGTGAAAAGAACTTTGATTTTGAATGCGGAAACGAAGACATGGAGCTGATAACATTTAATTTGGCCACCGTATCTAGAGCCACTGATAATTTCTCCAACAATAACAAGCTGGGAGAAGGTGGTTTTGGACCAGTATACAAGGTAACAAAGTATAATGTGATGTATTATTAGTTCAAAAATATCTCTCTCAACTTTTTGGAAATGATGCTTTCTAGGGCGTACTGATAGAGGGGCAAGATATAGCAGTCAAAAGGCTTTCAAAATGTTCAGGGCAAGGAATTAAAGAATTCATGAATGAAGTAATATTGATTGCTAAACTTCAACACAGAAATCTTGTAAAGCTTCTTGGTTGCTGTATTGAGGGAGACGAAAAATGTTAATTTATGAATACATGCCCAACAAGAGCTTGGACTACTTCATATTTGGTTTGAACCTCCATTATCTAGCACTCCCCTCAGTCTTTTAATAATTCCACTTAAATTTTTTGTTCTAAAATTAAGTGTAGATGTAAATTTTATGATCAATAACTAGCACTCCCCTCAGTCTTTTAATAATTCCACTTAAATTTTTTGTTCTAAAATTAAGTGTAGATGTAAATTTTATGATCAATTGGTCAGATGATACAAGAAGTAAATTACTCGGTTGGGATCAACGAATCAACATCGTCGGTGGAATTGCTCGAGGACTTCTTTATCTTCACCAAGATTCTAGACTGAGGATAATCCATAGGGATCTTAAAACCAGCAATGTTTTACTAGATAAAGATATGAATCCAAAAATATCTGATTTTGGCACGGCTAGAGCATTCCGGGCTGATCAAACGGAGGAAAATACTAATAGAGTGGTTGGAACTTAGTAGGTAGCTCTGAACTTGTCTCGTACATTTTACATTGTTGGTGAACTCATAATTCCAACTTCATTTTGCAGTGGCTACATGTCTCCTGAGTACGTAGTTGATGGACTCTTCTCAATCAAATCCGATGTCTATAGCTTCGGCGTCATGGTGCTGGAGATAGTGAGTGGGAAGAAGAACAGGGGATTTTATCATCCAGACCACCAGCTTAACCTTCTAGGACATGTAAGCTTTATTAAAGAACAACTTGTTCAAGCTTACTTCATATGTTTTTTTTAACATGGGAAGGAAGGAAGAGCATTATAACATAAATTTGATTAATTTTAGGCATGGACTCTATGGATTGAAGGAAGGCCATTGGAAGTAATGGATGAGGTGTTAGATGGCTCGTGTCCTCTACTGGACGTGTCGCGATGCATTCACATAGCTCTGTTGTGTGTGCAGCAACAACCAGAAGATAGACCAAACATGGCATCTGTGGTGCTGATGTTGGGTGGTGAGGGTTCATTGCCTGCGCCCAAACAACCTGGCTTCTTTACTGACAGGAACCCAGTTGAAGCACATTCTTCATCCACCAAGTGTGAATCACACTCAATAAATGATATGAGTGTAACGCTGTTGGAGGCAAGATAGAACATCTTTATTTATTCCACCAAGTGTGAATCACACTCAATAATAATTTTTCTCTTTTACAATTTACCACCTATATTTATTCCAAATGTACCATTCCCATTGAATTTTATGTTAAGTGAAGTCACATGAATCATGATAAGCAAATGCTATTTTCTACAGATATTTTATCAAAATAGTGAGCAGAAACAAAATTGCGTGTCATTTCATGTGAATGCTCATTTTTAGTTTTCAAAGCAAACAAGGGCACATTTGTAACTTACTTTAGAAATTAAAGTACTCATAGTAAAACTTAAGAACTCATATGCTCTGTGCTCGCTTTCTACAATTGAGTTAGGTCAATTCATCAAAATAGAAATGCGTTTCTTTTTATTTTCGAGCACTTTTTATGATAGGTATGGTCTATTTCTATGGTACCATTTTAAAATCATCTGTCTAAATAGAACTATTACAAGCAAATCGATAAATTTATTATTTTCATTAAATACTGAAATGGCCACACTACTAATTAAATAGATGAACTAGTTTTTTATTTTATTAGTTTTTTCAGGAATGATGATTATTAAAAATGTAAAAAGACTTCCATGATGAAACGGGGATAGCACATTTCTATTTAAACCCCACACTTCTCTTTGTTCACTCCATATTCTAAGTTCACTTCAACTTCTAATTCAAATTTTTACAATTTCTAAGAAAACCCCGCACTTCCTAATACACACCCAGCAAAACAAAACAAAAACTCATCAACCTCACACCCCAGGTTATAATTGATTCACAACCTTTGACGGTGGCTATACTTGAGGCCTTGTTCTTCGGTGAGAACATTGCGTTCCTTGGAGCTATAGGCCTTGTTCTTTGTGTAATTGGACTTTTACTTCTTGAGGTAAATCTTTTCTTTTCTTCATGGCGTTGTCAGTTTCATTCCATTGGCTTTTAATTACTCTAGCCAATGCTTGCTTATTGCGATTTCCAATCTTGAATTCACAACTTTAATTGCAGACCAACAACATGTGAATGCACAACTTTTATTTGCACTACTACAAAAAACGAAATAGACAACGGGGATCCACCGTCGTTGTAATGCTTTGAAAACCGTCGTTAAATCGACCGCCATCTATTTGGGTGTCAAACTACGACGGCTTTTCACCGTCGTTGTTTATCTGTAAAGACGACGGTTTTTAAAGAAAATCGTCATTGTTTAGAGGTAAAGATCGTTAATTATAGGATGAAAGACGACAGTTTTAAAAACCATCGTGTATTGTATGTAAAGATGACGGTTTTTTATGAAAACTGTCATCTTTACATACAATAGACAACCCTTTTTTAAAAAAAAAAACAGTCATCTTTACTTCACAATAGACGACCCTTTTTAAAAAAAACCGTCATCTTTACATAAATAGATGACCCTTTTTTTTAAAAACCGTCACCTTTACATATAATAGACGACCCTTTTTTTTAAAAAAAACGTCACCTTTACCTATAATAGACGACCTTTTTTATAAAAACCGTCGTTAATTATCTGTAAAGATCATGATTTATTATAAAAACCGTCGTCTAATAAGTTCCCAAACTGCTACATTTTAGTTCT